AATATGTTCCAAACGGCTACAAACATATCACCACAGTATTGACGATAAATTAGCGAGTGAGTGAACATTGCTTAACGCCGCATCACCCATCTTGCAGCTTTTCACCAAGTTTCAAATACCCTACTGATCTATGACATTTAGTCCGTGAAACATGAAATGACAAGTGACAAGTCTGCAAAAGGCACAATGTAAAGCATCATAAAAAATGATTGCCTAAATTGTGAATATTTCTTAAACGTACTGCAGGAATACGTTAGGCGAGTCTTACATAAGTTTACAACTTGTAACCATAATCTACCTATTGAAACTATTGAGAGATGGAGAAAAATACTTTTAACCGAAAAGAAAATGTCCACTTTGTAAACTATCTGACACGGGTGATGAATTCCATTATTTGTACCATAGTTTGTGATGAAAATATGGACACATAGAAGAATTTTTTTATTTGCTTTAGATGATATAGACCTTCACATCCGCAATCTCATTAAAATCAGATCAAAGTTTTGTTAAGCGGCATCGAGAACTTAGATCTGATTTTAATGAGATTGTCACATCCGTAAAGTACGGTATTAATATCATATCCTTTTATGTAATATAATAAATTGCTTCTGATTTGATCATAATTGCAACAAACAAAGAAGTAGTGTAACGGGTCTTTATAGTGTTGGGGGGCACGGGTGGCCCAGTCGTCTAAGGCGCCGCGATTCGCTCTGCAGAGATGCGTCCTTTGGGCACGCCGGAAACCTATGATCGTGGGTTCGAATCCCGGTTCGCCCCGATTATGTTTCTAGGTTTGTCAGCACCATACCCGTGCTCGTGGGTTTCACCGAAGTGGTAAACGTCTGAGACCTGCATCACTTCGGGCTTTCCTCCCACATTAAGCTGACACGCCGCGATATAACTGGAATACTGTTAAAAACGGCGTTAAACCCAACTCACTCACTCACTCACTCACTCACTCACTCACTCACTCACTCACTCACTCACTCACTCACTCACTCACTCACTCACTCACTCACTCACTCACTCACTCACTCACTCACTCACTCACTCACTCACTCACTCACTCACTCACTCGCTCACTCTATAGTGTTGACCACAGGAACTATCTGGGCTGTCAGTTATAAATCTATCGAATTTAGGTCTGTTTAGGTCACTACATCTGTTTTAAAGAAATGTTTGTAATTGTTATTGCATGATAATACATTTCGAAATTGGAATATAAGTCAGTAGATTTAATATCTTCAGATAGATTATTCCATAATTTTGTAGAGTTGGGTGTAAAGGATTTTGCGTAGTGTTCAGTCTTACATCTAATTATTTGAAGGTCTGAAGAGTTTCTAAGGCTGTGATGACTGCGAGCGTTAACCTGGCCTGGGATTAGGTTGCAGAGATAAGCTGATGCTAAGTTGTTTGCCCTTTTGTAGAATAAAGATAGAGATTGATTTTTGCGCCTTAGTGACAATGATTTCAGATTTGTTTCTGTATTCAATTTGTTTATGGCTTGTGCCCCGTGTCGCACCACATATGGATCTTAGAGCATCTAGATTTAATCTTTTCTATATCAGTAAGTAATGTGATCCTATGTTAATGTAAACGTGACATTAATAATTCTTTTTGTGTAATGTTTTATGTCAATAAAGCAATTTCCTGATGCAATACATTCTTAACTCCAGAAAATCACCGGAAAAATAATAACACGGCGTCTCACTTAGACTTATGTGAGTGCATATCCACTTTGCCATTATAGGGATTAACTATTTAACGTCATTAGTCCAATAAACCGCTCCAGTAAACAGATAATTGGTTATTACTATACATGATTACTGACTGGCATTTGGGAGTAGGTTGAATGAACACATTGTTATATTAAACTACCTACTTGTTGTCACGTTGTGTCACTGCTACGTCTGACCCATTCGAGTGAAATGAACCCCAATGAAATGATACAAACAAAAACTGGCTATCCCAAAGTTTCAGTGGGGTTGTTGGAGTTGAAGTAAATGTACTGGTCAGATTTTGGATGTTGCTTTGGTCTCTTGGATACAATGACGTCCAGGAAGGAAGGTTTTTAACCTCGTCTTTTTCCGCAACCGCAAAGGTTACTTTCAACGGAAATGGCAATCGTGTTCAGAATGGATATCAATGGTCATTTGTCACACCGGTCCCGTTCCATAATATACTGAACAACAGAAGCTCCTGTAACATTGAATAAGATTTAATGCAAAGATATGTTTTTTACCAAATCTGAAACAATTTCGGGTTGCAACAGTTAAAGATTCCTGTAAGTGTTCAAATGGTAGTTTAATTTGCCATACTGACTTCAGAAAATGCGTAATTTCATTTAAAAAAAACATGAACATGCCAAAATGTCAATTTACAAATCAATAGTGTGTGTCCACCTCTGGTTGCGATGCAAGCTACACATCTTCGTCTCATGGAATGGACCAGGGGTCGCACAAAGTCCTGTGGGATATCTGTCCATATCTGCTGGAGCATGTTTCGAAGTTCCTGGCGTGTCTGTGGAACATGCACGTGGTTGACGTCGAAGGCGCCGATCCATCTCATCCCACATGTGCTCGATTGGTGAGAGATCAGGGGAGCGAGCCGACCAGGGGATGACATTCACGTTGTTTTGTTGAAGAGAATCCTGAACAAGTCGAGTAATATGAGGCCGGGCGTTGTCGTTTTGAAAAGTAATGCCTGGGCCATGACGACGCAAAAACGGTAGAACAACAGGGCCGATGATCTCGTCGCGGCAGCGCTGTCCATTGAGATTTCCCTCTACCACTATCAAACGGGTCCTCTGTCTTGCAGTAATCCCACCCCATACCATAACACTGACGCCCCCGAACCGATCTTCTTCCATGACACAATGATTGACGTAACATTTACCTCGACGTCGGTACACTCGAATCCGTCCATCGCTGTGGCTGAGGTGAAAACGAGACTCGCCAGTGAATAGAACTTGTCCCCACTGCTTGACCGTCCAGCGCAGACGCTATCTGCACCACTGTAGACGTGCTTGACGGTGGTTTCCTGTCAAAATGGGACGTCTTGCGGGTCTTCTGTCGACAATCCCTGCACATCTGAGGCGACGACGTACGGCCAGGGATGCTTCTTGCAGTCACTGTTGCTGGCTGGAATCGATTTCGTAGGCGTGTTGTTCGAATCCAGTTGTCTTGTCGATTATTGGTTACGCGTGGCCTGCCACTCCGAGGATGGTCTCTGACTGCATTCGTCTGTTGCCAACGTTGCCATAAACACCAAATGGTGTTTCTGTGGACATTAAATTGTCTTGCAACATCACGTTGACTCGATCCTGCTTCAAGCATACCAATGGCTCGCAGACGCTCATTTTCGGACAGGCGTGGCATTTCGTAATGTTGCATAATTGCGTAATTTTGTTTTTTTCTGAGTGGTTGTTGTCATCACGATGCTAAACAATGCATATGGAATCCCGTTAACGCACATGTTTTTATACCCATTCTTGGGTAGTGAAATGCATGGGGCTTGCATAAAAGTCAACTTTGGCATGGAATGCATGCTTTTCTGTAGCAGTTGCGATTTTGTGACTTGATTCCATACATGTACTACAATACTGAAAACCAAACTTTACTTGTTTGAAAAATACACTAAAATATTGGTGTCACGGGAACTTTTGTTGTTGAGTAATATATAAATATAGAAGACCCCGAATGGTAAGGAGTGACGGGGCGAACTGAAAACGGTTTCAGGCGTCAGACCTCCCAACTGCACTATTCTGTTCATCACTTGCTTGATAATGGTGTTAGTATCTACACCTAAACACCGTATTCATTCTAATAAAGAAGTTGTATATCCATAGAACTATCTCCTGTATTCATCAAACCAACTTCTAAATGCCTCTTAAGGAAGGGCAGACGTTCAGTTCACCAGGATCATGCATGAATGACAGGTATACTGCGTGCGTGCGTGTGTGCGTGCGTGCGTGTGTGCGTGCGTGCGTGCGTGCGTGCATAACAATGAAAATTACTGAATCGAAAAATGATATACATGAATAAAATATATGTATATTAGTACCTAATCTTGATCTCTTCAGCATCTTGCTTGAAACCGAAAAGCAAGAATATGTTGAGAAAAATGTTTTAATCAACTGGCGGCTGTTATTTATGAGGCGCCGCTTCATGTAAAGATAAGTAAACGCATATTGGAAACTCTCGACATCGCTGGGATTATTCAGTGACATGTGCAGAGGTGACAGATCTCTGAGAAAGGCGTTTAACATTATTACACTTTTATAACGTGTGTGCGTGTCCGTAGCCTTGTGTAGTCCAGACTAATGCTTTTACAGTGCAAGCACAATGAGATGCTGTGACGCAGTTAATTGGGCCTATACACCACTCAGACGCATTATCCATATACTCCGAACCGACCAGTCCTTGTTTTATCTTCTCAATGGCGAGCGCCAGGCAGGGACAAAACAAGGATAAGGTCTTTTGGTATGACACGACCAAGGGTCAAGCCACCGACCTTCCTCTCTCCGAGAAAACGCTCTATCCAACAGACCACGTAGGCGGTCTCACTGAACAGAGGCTGCTAGGCTGACATCACAGTTTCGCCAGTACATCTGACAACAAAATCTCACAAATGATTTCATAAATAGGGTTTGTGAAGTGTTTGTCAAGTTTATGGTTATCGAGTCATTTCATTAGTGCCGTTTTAACTTTTACAGTCATAGCAGTTTTGCACCATGGCAGTTTTGATCTGATGCCGTATTTTCAGCCATTTTTTTTCTTTTATAGGGAGACATCATTACGGTGTGAATGTTAACGGTTATTTTGTAGCTTGACATCAATTAAAAAAAGTGTATTTATTTGAAAATTTACAAGTAATATATAAATATGGAATCTGAGTAATTACTATAAATATTGTAACTGTCATTAATTTAATCAGTACGGTTAAAAAAAGACATGAAATGTATACTCAATTCATTCTTCTGTGCCAAAGGTACAATATGTTTTATTTCCGGTTAGAGTTTTTACTTCCGGAAATTGCATATGTTTGCGTTATTTTCTAAGTTACCTCGCGTGTTGTTACCTGGATGTCGCACATGCCACATCTCCACGCAAAGGATGGCGGCTGTGTATGTGCGGCGCGTGCCAGGCGACGAGGATATGGAAATTCGTCTCAACTATGGCCACAATAGTGAAAACTACAGAACGTACAATCTAAAACGTCGTCAAAATGAAGAAATTACAAGAGCTCTCGTCAGACTCCAGAATAACATATTGAATTCCCTTTCGAAAAAAAAGAAAAAGAAAGCCAAAGAAAAAGAGCCCGAAACGAATCCCAATCAAGAGATTGAGATTCCAATTAACTTGTTCATTGAAGGCAAGGAAGTGGATGGTAGTACATTCAACAGAGATGCGTGGATTCAAGGGGCAGAACTTGATATATGTGGCACCCGGTTAACAGTAGATGTTAACCCTCCCACTGTACGTTCTATATCTTTGCCTTCGAACTTAATGGCTGGCTTTCCACAGTTACCTAAGTGTGATGCAGAATTTGTTAATTTAAATGAATGTTCGTTTAACTGGTATAGGACTAAATTTCGTGACTCTGGGGATGCTAGCGCGTCTAAACAAAAGAGTCAAACCCAGGAACAGGAGCAGTATGATATATGTAAAGTTTCTGATGGAATTATATACACTCCAACAGTAGAGGACATTGGATTTCATTTAAAGCTTGAATGTATTCCAAGGAAAGGTGATCGGATAGGTTTAAAATTTGAAAGTATTTCTGAAGTTGAAGTAAGTGCAGGTCCAGGAGTGTGTCCATTTGAAAACCGACAGTTGTTCACACAAGCAGAAACTGAGGCTGGAAGGTGAGTCATCTGTAAATTACATTTTCACAACAATTCATATATACGAATAATGATGTCGATTAATATCTAATTATCCGACATCTTATTGCTGTTCTCAACTACATAAACTGGACAGATTGTTTTCCAGTTCTATTAATATCTTCATGTAGTATAATATGTAATCTGCCCAGATTTGAGATACTTTCTTATATACTTCCTACCTTTGGCTATACAAATTCATTAGTGGTATATGAAGATTAGAACCACTTGTTTGTAATAGTATGAAAATAATAACATGCTTCTTTTTATTTCCAGCTTTCGTGTAGTGACTTACAACATCCTGGCTGACTTGTATGCAGACTCTGACTTCTCTCGCACCCAGCTGTTTCCCTATTGTCCACCTTATGCTCTGGCCATTGACTACAGAAGGCAATTACTCCTCAAGGAAATTACAGGTGTGATGTCAATATTCCTCATATAGTTTATACTGATACTCACATATGAAGATCATGATGGGTAACACTAAAACAGTTTTATGTTTACACAGTTAATGATTACTTGATAAGGTTGAGATATTTTGTAAGTTTCTTAAATTTAATATGAGGTGCAGTTAAAGAGAGCTTAATGTCATGTCCAAAGTGATTGGACTTCTTTAAAATAACTAGAGTTAGGTATAAAACAACTAGTCCATTTAGATAGTTACTTGTTTCAGACTAACGGACTAGCGTCTTTGTCTATCCCTGTCATGTTGGCTATTACCATACAGAATCTTCACCTATATTCCAATACACATGCTACAAGTAAGAAATACAAATGTATGTGAGTTAACATTTCAAGTCAAATTAGCAGTATTTCAGCCATGTCAATGATATTATGCATATGAAATATAACACGGTTTGACTGTTGTGACATTGACAGTAAGTGTGTTTTCCAGGTTACAACGCTGACATCATCTGTTTACAAGAGTGTGACATGAAGGTGTTTGAACATGACCTGCTCCCCTTCCTGGAAAACACTGGCTTCGGTGGATGGATGAAGAGAAAAGGAACCAAAGTTACTGAAGGGTCTGCTACCTTCTACCGAAAGTCCAAGTTTAGGTGAAACAACTTAAACACATCCTGAAGCTCCAGAAGTTGGTTGTATGACCTGTATTAGTAATGGTTATAGGAGGCCTCGGCTTGGGGACATTTATAAAAGGACTGAATTATTCTTTTGATAAATAATTGGGATGATAATCACATCTGTGAGTTAAGATCAAGTAAAGATTTGACACACATCAACATGGTCCTAGTATGCTCGTTATTAACATTTTGAAGTTCAGAGTATCAAATATTTTCATGTTACTCTGCATGGGGAAATAAAGTCCAGAATATGACATTTATAATCGTGCATGGTGTAGGTGAGGTGAGGTGAAATTGGGTTTAACGTCACGTCCAAGATTATTGCACCTATATAGCGACGTGCATGCACGTGTGTGTGTGTGTGTGGCTGCTTGTATTAGTCTGGACTGATGCCAATTTATAGTGCTAGGTCACTGAGATACCATGCTGCAGTTTAACATGAATACCCCACTCAGACAGAGTATACTGACTCCGAGCCGACCAGTCCTTGTTTTAGTCCCTTAATGCCAAGCACAGGGCAGGGTAACAACAAGTACCATCCTTTAACGTCTTTTGGTATGACGCGGCCGGGGATCGAACCCTGGACCTTCCGCTGTCCGGGCAGACGCTCTACCACAAGACCACGGAGGCGGTCTTGCATGGTGTAGAGTTATTGGGGTTTGTCATGTAAAGAGAGGAAGCTAGGGAAGTCCCATTTCCGCATCTGAAGTAATCACGAAAAGAATCCTTCCGTACAACATAGCACAGTGGGCAGCTTGGCAATGTCTGCTGACTTAGCTTGGACATGTTGAACTTCAGATATAGACAAATGTGAGTTTTTGACAAAATGTTTGCAGACAGAATATGTGAAAAGATAGGGCCTGGACCATGTAGATGTTGTAGCCATGCTTTCCGAGTCCCGTGATGGGATTCGAACCACGGACCTTCCGAACATAGATGTGATGCCTTGTCCAAAACTGACAAGCTACGGATGTCATCTGTGGGACGAATCCACATCCTGCTACATTGATGAGGTTCAACAGAAGGCACGTCGTGAGATGCTTAGGGTACTCAGGCTTATTTTGCTCAAATATGATATGAACGTGTTCAGCCCCATGTTCCTTGTCCACCAAGGGAGTTAACCCCACAAGGTAAGAATATCATTTGTGGGATGACTCCACACCCTGCTACATGAACTAGATGAAAACAACAACACAATATATAGAAACAAGATGAGCATAGCTGCCTGAGAATCTAATCAATGTCACTTTGCTGTCGCCTACTTTCAGCCTGGTGGCCGAGCATGGCATAATGCAGTCGGAGTTCTTGAGAGAACCTGCCAATGCTGATCTGTGGGACAAGGTGAGTCAGAAACCGGCATTGAGAGACAAGATGATGGAGCGGACCACAGTCCTTCAGGCCACCTTGCTCCAATCTACCCACAATCCCGACCACTTCCTGTGTGTGGCCAACACTCACCTCTACTTCCACCCAAGGGCAGACAACATCCGAGCGCTGCAGATCGGCTTGAGCATGAGGTTCCTGCAGCAACTCTGTCAGCCATTTCTATCTGAGGTCAGTACAGGGGAACATATTCCTAAAGCTTCTTACCTATTCAGACAGATGTGGAGTATGGGACATATTCTAAGAAATGTGAAAAGTTACTTATACATGTATAGTGGCCAAAAGAATTGGTCAAGTAGTATTTATGGAAACTTTTGTGCGCAAGGTTACTCAAAGTATTAAAAATATTAATACAGTCATCTATGTTTATTACAAACACGCTTATAACTCACAGATATAACAAACTGTTTGTTTTTTGTGCCAGATATTTGCTGTGTGTGTGTATATATATATATATATATATATATATATATATATATATATATATATATATATATATGCATATAACAAACTACGGTTAAGACAAGCTAAAATTAGTGGTCCTTTTAAGTTCATTATAACCACAGTATACTGTAATTTTCCTTATATGTCAAAATGGTTGCCATTTACAAGAATGGATGAAAACTGTCTGGGAGTGAATCATGTGTTTATTGTTTCAAGTGAATAAAGCGATTGCAAGATAAGACACTTCCATACAATCTGTGACAATCACTTCAAGTTTACATACTTAGCCATAGGCTCACATACATAACGTTCAGAAATGTTCATGAAGTCACTGCACGTGAAACAAAATAACAACACTATATCTCTAGATATCAGGAACTCACAGAACATCTAGAATATCTGGTGGCACGGGTGGCCCAGTCATCTAAGGCGCCGCTATTCGCTGTGCTGAGTTGTGTCCTTTGGCCATGCCAGAAACCTATGATTGTGGGTTCAAATCCTGGTGCACCCTGATTATGTTTCTAGGTTTGTCAGCACCATACCCGTGCTCATAGGTTTCACCAAAGTGGTAAACGTCTGAGACCTGCATCACTTGAGACTTTCCTCCCACATAAAGCTGAAATGCTGTGATATAATTGGAATACTGTTCAAAGTGGGGTTAAACCTGACTCACTCAGTCACTCCTAATTACCTATGGACACCTGTGTATACATGTCTTGTGTTGCAGGGTAAGAAGATGTCTGTTGTGTTCTGTGGGGACTTCAATAGCTCTGTGAAGAGAGCCGTCAACGTGCTGCTGACCACCGGTCATATCCCAGAGGAGTTTGATGACTGGGCGACAGGTGAGGGGTGTGTGGATGACTGGGCGACAGGTGAAGGGGAGGACTGACGACATGTCAGTAGGGTGGGGTGACAGGTGAGGGGTGGGGAGGATTGACAACAGGTGAGGGGGTGGGGAGGATTGACAACAGGTGAGGGGGTGGGTAGGACTAAAGACAGGTGAGGGGGTGGGGAGGACTGACAACAGGTGAGGGGGTGGGGAGGATTGACAACAGGTGAGGGGGTGGGTAGGACTAAAGACAGGTGAGGGGGTGGGGAGGACTGACAACAGGTGAGGGGGTGGGGAGGATTGACAACAGGTGAGGGGGTGGGGAGGACTGACAACAGGTGAGGGGGTGGGGAGGACTGACAACAGGTGAGGGGGTGGGGAGGACTGACAACAGGTGAGGGGGTGGGGAGGATTGACAACAGGTGAGGGGGTGGGGAGGACTGACAACAGGTGAGGGGGTGGGGAGGACTGACAACAGGTGAGGGGGTGGGGAGGACTGACAACAGGTGAGGGGGTGGGGAGGACTGACGACAGGTGAGGGGGTGGGGAGGACTGACAACAGGTTAGGGGGTAGGGAGGATTGACAACAGGTGAGGGGTGGGGAGGATTGACAACAGGTGAGGGGGTGGGGAGGACTAACGACAGGTGAGGGGGTGGGGAGGATTGACAACAGGTGAGGGGGTGGGGAGGACTGACAACAGGTGAGGGGGTGGGGAGGATTGACAACAGGTGAGGGGGTGGGGAGGACTAACGACAGGTGAGGGGGTGGGGAGGACTGACAACAGGTGAGGGGGTGGGGAGGACTGACGACAGGTGAGGGGGTGGGGAGGACCGACGACAGGTGAGGGGGTGGGTAGGACCGACGACAGGCGAGGGGGTGGGTAGGACCGATGACAGGCGAGGGGGTGGGGAGGACTGACGACAGGTGAGGGGGTGGGGAGGACTGACGACAGGTGAGGGGGTGGGGAGGACTGACGACAGGTGAGGGGGTGGGGAGGACTGACGGCAGGTGAAGGGGAGGGGAGGACTGACGACAGGTGAGGGGTTGGGGAGGACTGACGACAGGTGAGGGGGTGGGGAGGACTGACGACAGGGTGAGGGGGAGGGGAGGACTGACGACAGGTGAGGGGTTGGGGAGGACTGACGACAGGTGAGGGGGAGGGGAGGACTGACGACAGGTGAGGGGTTGGGGAGGACTGACGACAGGTGAGGGGGAGGGGAGGACTGACGACAGGTGAGGGGGACGGGAGGACTGACGACAGGTGAAGGGTAGGGGAGGACTGACGACAGGTGACGGGGTGGGGAGGACTGACAACAGGTGAGGGGGAGTTGAGGACTGACGACAGGTGAGGGGTGTGTGGGAAGGGGAGTCCAAGCTTAATATTGTATAACACTTGGATGAATATACAATTACAATGTATTATCCATCTTACATTTTGTCTTAGAAGTCAACATTTTATTTCAATTTACTGTGAACATGTTTGAACCAGTTGGAGAGAGGCAGTGATAAATATGCATGGTTAAGTGTGGGATGGTGTAGTTCTGTGAATCTTTTTTGTGCCAATGTTTTGGCATCTAGTACATCTGGCAATTTCTGCAGGAAATTCTTCCATGGAAGCTTGTTGGTTTACCATGTTTCTTAATTAACAGCTGACATTCCTACTCTTGCTGTGTCCCAGGTGGCGAGGAGGAACAGATTGGCTGTGAGCTGTCACATGACTTCAAGATGATCAGTGCGTGTGGCTACCCCGAGTACACCAACTACACCATGGGCTTCCATGGACTCCTGGACTACATCTTCACCGACACGGAGCACCTGGAGGTGATGCAGGTGATCCCGATGCCGGACCACCAGGAGGTGACGCAGCACGGAGCACTCCCCAGCGTTGTATTCCCCTCCGACCATATTGCACAGATATGTGACATGAGGTGGAAACCTCTGTGATATGTGATATGTGATATAACCAATACTGTGATGATTGATAAAGGTATTCTATGAAATAATCTGAAATGGGTATGATCTTTGGTCATCTGGGTGGGGATAATATTACTTCTCATTGAGGTGAGATACATGAAGATAGGAATTACCTCATGGATCAAGTACCTTATTATTTTGTATAGCTCTGTGGGATAACATGATACATATTGGCACGTGAAATCAAATTACCAGGAAATTAGAAATAATTTCAAGATTAGGTGATCATATTTACATACTACTCAAAAGAAGTTAAAGAACACAGGATTCTTTCAAATAACTGTGGTCAATCTGTCAAGGTATGACAATGACGGCCTAATTATAGTACTATGAAAGAGTCGGGTGTACTTTAATTTTTTTTAAGCTGTATAATTCCTGAAAAGTGACATGATGCAGTTCAGGGTACAGGGAACACGGGACATCTGACAGGGAGCACCACAGTGCGAGCAGAATGATGCATGTAGGAACTGATAATGTACGTGTTGGTAATAAACAGAGCACAACTGAACTGTGTTATCAAGTTCATACTGACACCATGTTCGTCTGGACCCTGAAGGCTGCAAATCTTGCCTTGAGGTAGACTACCATCTAGTCCCTGAAATAATGTTATGGAGAAGATTTTTTTTAAATATATCTATAAAGGAACCTTCAAAATCTCTTAATTTCCTCGAGCTGAGAATGGGATGAGTATTGACTGCGTAGATATGGGGACAGGCTGCTAAAGCTGAGATGGGAATGAGTGCTGGCTGCTAGAGCTGAAAAGGGGATGAGTACAGGCTGGTAGAGCTGAGAATGGGATGAGTACAGGCTGCTAGAGCTGAGATGGGGATGAGTACAGGCTGCTAGAGCCGAGATGAGGATGAGTACAGGCTGCTAGAGCTGAGAAGGGGATGAGTGAAGGCTGCTAGAGCTGAGAAGGGGATGAGGGAAGGCTGCTAGAGCTGAGAAGGAGATGAGTGTAGGTTGCTAGAGCTGAGATGGGGATGAGTGTGGGCTGCAAGAGCGCAGAATGGGATGAGTACAGGCTGCTGGAGCTGAGATGGGGATGAGTGTAGGTTGCTAGAGCTGAGATGGGGATGAGTGTAGGTTGCTAGAGCTGAGATGGGGATGAGTGTGGGCTGCAAGAGCTGAGATGGGGATGAGTGTAGGTTGCTAGAGCTGAGATGGGGATGAGTGTGGGCTGCAAGAGCGCAGAATGGGATGAGTGTAGGCTGCTAGAGCTGAGAAGGAGATGAGTACAGGCTGCTAGAGCCGAGATGAGGATGAGTACAGGCTGCTAGAGCTGAGATGAGGATGAGTACAGGCTGCTAGAGCTGAGAAGGAGATGAGTGTAGGTTGCTAGAGCTGAGATGGGGATGAGTGTGGGCTGCAAGAGCGCAGAATGGGATGAGTACAGGCTGCTGGAGCTGAGAAGGGGTAGAGTATATGATGATGGAGCTGAGAAGGGGTTGAGTACAGGCTGAAGAGGGACACAACTTATCTTGTCAGGTAGACGGTGGACAGTAGACAGCGTGTCCAAACTTGGATCAGGTTTGTAGTTCAGTAACTCCATCATTGGACATGGAAATGCTGCGACAGGTGTAACACAACCCAGACACATAGATATTATGACAAGTTTATTTAAAAAGACAGGCAGATAAGACTATACAATCATATCCTTGTAAACGATATATATTTATTATGCCAAACAGGATATATTTACTATAACAAATCTTTTTTTAATGATCAGTTATCACTTTCAAGTTGCTGATACTGAGAGATGAATCAACAACAGATAAATGTAGATCTTTTAGCTTCTTAAAATACATGTATACAAAAATTCTTCAAAATACATTTCATTTATTAAACTAACATTTTAAGTAAAAACAAGAAATACATGTGTACAAAATTTCTCCAAAATACATCTTATTAATCAAAATAAGGTTTTGAGAATCAAGAAAACGTTTTTTTCCAAATTAAAGAAAAACGCTTTACAGAGATGAATCCTAACATGCTGCTTGTACTGACATGCACGGACATACAGATGATAATAATAACAATAATAAGTCCATTTATACTGCGCCAGATTACATTCACAAAGTTAATGCTCATGGTGCTACATAGTTTTAGCAAATAATGCTGATCAAAGGTGAGTAGAGCTAGATTGAATAGTGTTGTCTGAAAAGGTATGTTTTCAGATGAGGCTTAAAGGATGCAAACGATGGCGACAGCTTAAGATCAGATGGTAGTTTGTTGCATAGCGAGGAAGCGCGGAACTGGAAAGATCTCTGACCAAAGGTTTAGTGATGGGTTTCTGGGACTTGTTGTAACAGGTGGTTATTCTGAGAACGGAGAGATCTGGAAGGCTTGTATTTAGGCAGTAGTTCGGTAAGATATAATGGGTCTGTTTCCAACTAGCATTTGTAGGCCAGGGTTAGAATTTTGAATTCAGTTCTGGCTTTTGAGTGGTACAGATATACCGCAGACCATTCTTACAAACATAACAGAAAAAAGCGTGCAGTTTGCTAAATGACTCACAATATATATCACAAGTTTGTTTGCTATTCAATATGAAGAAATAACACATCAATCCAAATACAATCATTCAAACGAAAACACGTCTCATAGCAACCTGCTACTTGCTTCCCGGTAACCATGGTAACATCATTCCTGATTGAACATAGGTTTGTGTTGAATGTTTAGCCTGCACGGAAGCAGCATGTGGCTTGCCTGCAACAGGTGGGCGATGGTGTGATCCAAGTCATGTTGGCTAGGTTGGTACTTGCCTCACAATATTCTCATCTTGACACACAATCCCCTAAGGGTAACCAAGTTTTTGAGCTCCTGACCAATAAAGTGATTTTTCCTTAGGTGCCCTGTTTGGCACAGACCGGCGATACAGACAACTGTGAGAAACACATTGTGGTTACTTGACCAATAAAATTGACTTCAATGTGAGCACTGGTGCCTATTATGAAAATGATGTGTTTCCTGTTCTACCACATACAGCAGTGACTTCCTGTAACACTGTCCATCAAATCCATCCTGAGCTCATCAAATATCCTTAAGCAGGAACAGAATATTTATTCCAAGAGGGACAAGCTTCAAGCTCAAGAACCTCTAAACCGTATCTACCAAGGCATTAACAACCGTATTATACTGGTTAGAAAAAATTCTATGAAAGCAATAACAATCATATTATTCTGGTCACAAGCATCCCATCCAACTGATTACTGGTCACAAACACTGCTGCCCAAGTGATAACAATCATATCTACTGGTCACAAACACTGCTACACAATCACACATCCCTAGGACACGTTACAGGTGCTTGGAAACATTGCAACATCCACTCCCACGTAAGAATTATGTAAAAGATATTGAGCAAGTTTCTGTTACTATGGAGGGATTACACTTCTTAGTGGAGGGAAAGAGTAACACAAAAACATAATAGGGGCCAAACAAACGAGAGAAGGTTTAATGCTGTAGTCAGCAGTATCCGTCCCATCCCAGTAAGAAGGGACACTCAGCTTTGTCCATGTGGTTCTGTAGCAATGATGGACTTTATTTTATGAGTTGTTACAGTCATGAATTTTGTCATATCAGTTAAATAGATGAAATGGGATATAGTCATGAACTGTTACACTCATGAATTTTGTTCAATTCATGAAATGGCTCACATTCATGAATTGTGTCTTATTATGTGTTTAGTAATGAAATACTGTATTTATCCCCAAATATCAAATCAACATTTTCCTCAAGTGAAATATCCCTTTCTGCTGGAACTATGCCAGTCTGTCTCAATGACACCATAGTTGAGAGTAAGGACTAGAAAATCATGCAAGAAAATACACAATAATAAGCATGGGTCTTTCTAGTCATCTTGTAACATGACCTGGAATGTTGACACCTCAAACCAGCTGCACCACTCATGACATTATTACCTTGTCCTGTCACCAGATAAGGTCAACATGTTGAAAAGACAAATATCCTCTATATATTCATATATTGAGTTGTGTCGATGCATGAATTGTGTTATATTCATGCTAGCAAAGCAAGCAGTGTCTTTCTCCTGTCAGTACAAACATATATCTAGCCAGACTGAAACAATGGCAACCTGCACCTGGGTAACTAACCACATCTAGTCGCAAGGCACAGAATCTACCTGCATTCCTGGCCTCGAGCTCTGCCGGGGAACAAATACATTTAGCAACTGCATGAACTATACACCTGTTCCTGTGGCATCATCAACTACACAGTGAATGTATACAAATATCTATATATTCCTCATCCTCATAGCTTTACAATCTGCTATTGTTGACAAATATCTACATGTGTATTGGGAAATATCTCTGTCAAATTCCTCCCATGACCAACATATATCCCACTAGAAGCTGTGATGGCGCAAAGGATGGTGAAGGAACTGGCCTGCTACCTTGTTTGGGAAGCACTACCCTGTAGGGCTCTGCTACCAATTCTTAGTATTCTCATCTTGGGAACCATAATGATTTAGCACAAAACTGAATGAAGATAATTGTTGCATCTTTCACAGAAGCAATGTCCAGGTTAGTCAAAATGTAACTTGATAGTTTCGAGAGACGGTGGACCATGTGGAGACGGTTCCCATGCTCACTCTGCCATATCATCTCTGAGAGAGCTGCAAGTCTGCTAAACAGCATAGATTAGTGTCCCTCATCCTTCATTTAGGCAACAAATCCATCTACCTTTTCATACAACATACATTAGTCTTACAGCTCATAACAAAAGTTCAGACAACAGCTGTCCTTCATTCTGATGTGAAACAAATGATGGGAGACAACTCTGGCTAGTTAGTCCCTTTCAAGCTCCTCAGCGAGCGACATCTCCGTTACACTCTCGGTAACATCGCTGCCATCAGTGTTGATGTAGCCATTACACGAATCTTGAATCTTGCCCTCAAACCCCAAATGTATGAACAATTATACCTTTGTTTATGTCTTTGGGAGTGCCATCATAGTCAATTTTGAAAAGGTTTATGACGGACCAGATTTGCCAAATGAATATACCTTTTTTGTTTGTTTAATCGGTTTGAGGTTGCAGACGAACGGAAAATCAGCCTACTCCCCCCTTACATTCTTACTTTACCAATTACATGATAGTTGAAATGAAATAGAAATTCAAACTGACAAACAAAGAAAATAATTTAGCTGGGGTAAGTATTCGACATCATGGCAGTCATCACCTGTTTGAAAACATACAGTCAGTGGGCTGCGAGTTCAACACCAAGCATGGCTGTAGCCAACAGTGGGGAGTTTTGACTGGTGGCAGCGATAGTACAGAGAGCTCCACGAACAGGCTATTGCTGTGAGGAGCTTCAGTCCCTTTATCACAAGGGAGACAACTCTGGTCCCTTTCTCACAATGAAAACAAGTTTCAGAATGTTCTTGTACGCAAGGTTCTACAGGCCTGTTTCATTTTATAGAAAACAACTAAATATTATATATGTGGAACTTAAATACTAATTGACATTTGTCATAATATTAAACAACAGCTTTGTGTGACATGTTTCGTTGTTTTGCAAAAGGATACCAAAACATAAAAGCTTAGAAAATGGGACATATTTTGACTGAGTGACACTTGTACATTGACTTTCTGAATATAAACAGACAAAACATAACATGAAACAATATGTTGCATTTGAAGGCTGGACAGGGACTTAACCCCTTGGTGCATATGTGGCGAGGTCAACCTCACAATGAACTCAAATTGTGATTAACATACACAGTAATAAACTAAGACCAAACTGACAATTATAAACAGCAACTATTTATGAAATATCTACAGACCAGTCTAATATAAAGATTCAGTGAAAATACACTGCACAATACATCCATCGTCCCATGTCCTAGTCCATGGCATCATGTATACGGTAGAAAGAGACTGAAAGTCATGGTGAGTGGGTAAACAAAGAAAATAAACATTTAAACATAATAACAGTGAAGTAAAGGTGGTGACATTATTATTCAACATTAAAACAATTGTCTGTTGGATAAAATTCCTCACACAATATAGGTCCAATAGAATGGACATATGATAATTGTCAGTCATAACACACAAAGTGATCATGCCTGATTTACAATGACTTGACTAAAAACAATACATCTCGGGGTTGTCGGGGTGGGTGAGGGTGAGGGTGTAGTATCTAACAGCCAGGTCTTGTCTCAGGTCTAACAGCCAGGTCTTGTTCAAGCAAAAGCTTATTAAAATCTGACTGGCTCCTGAATAATGCTACTCTTCATATGCCGTAGAAATTACACACAGTCAAACAATTACCAATATACTAACATGCGATAAATGTTCTAAGGCCTACAACAACACAAATAGAACGGAAAGAAATTAACTTGCAAAAAAGGCCAATGCAAAACACTCAACACTGTTAAGATTGTGCCAAATGGCTTGTGTGAGAGGGCTAGTGCTTGTTCTAATGTCTAATGATTCTAATGGCACAGGGTCAGTGGGCCAATTGGCTTGGGGAGAGGCCTTGTGCTAACGTCCATGATTCAGATGGCACAGGGTCAGTGGGCCAATTGGCTTGGGGAGAGGGCTAGTGCTTGTTCTAATGTCTAATGATTCAGATGGCACAGGGTCAGTGGCCAATTGGCTTGGGGAGAGGGCAAGTGCTTGTTCTAATGTCTGTGATTCTGATGGCACAGGGTCAGTGGCCAATTGGCTTGGGGAGAGGGCTAGTGTTTAGGTCTGTCATTCTGATGGCACAGGGTCAGTGGCCAATTGGCTTGGGGAGAGGGCTTGTGCTTAGGTCTGTGATTCTGATGGCACAGGGTCAGTGGCCAATTGGCTTGGGGAGAGGGCTAGTGCTTAGGTCCATGATTCTGATGGCACAGGGTCAGTGGGCCAATCGGTTTGGGGAGAGGCCTTGTGCTAACATCCATGATTCTGATGGCACAGGGTCAGTGGGCCAATCGGCTTGGGGAGAGGGCAAGTGCTAACATCCATGATTCAGATGGCACAGGGTGAGTGGGCCAATCGGCTTAGGGAGAGGGCTAGTGCTTAGGTCTGTGATTCTGATGGCATAGGGTCAGTGGGCCAATCAGCTTGGGGAGAGGGCAAGTGCTAACATCCATGATTCAGATGGTAGCACATCGTCAGTGTCATGTGAAAGGGCTACAGTTTCAATGATAGGCTATAACCAATATTCCAAATAATCCCCCAGAAGGCACAATGTCTGTGGTGTATCAAAAGACATTCCCACCAAGTGAAAAATCTCAATTCCCGAAAATCATTTCACAATTTTACGAACACTTAAGTAACAAGTGGAAAGCACACATAACCATAATTAACATATTTTTTAAAGACAACCCACCAAAAGTAAGCAAAAGATATTTCTTAACCACATGATTTTGTTACATAGTTCTAATTATTTGAAGATCTCAGAGAAACCCCACACATATTCTGAGTTCTAAGAGACATAACTCTACAATGCACGGGCCTATGCATTGACTTGGTTTGTTGTTTTACACCGCACTCAGCAATATTTCAGCTATGCATTGACATCAACATGCTACATGTGTGGACAACCTACACCTGCTCATATTGTTAGTCTTATACAGTGTAGCATTTCCTGTGAAATCGTCCCGATAATCAAATTTTCAGATTAAAAAATCGTATTTGTCACTTTGTCTACATATAATCGTTCTCAGCAGTACTTGTCTGGAAGGTGGGGGTGTGAACTAACAACGTTTTATTGTATTTACATAGACTTAGTCACAGATACCACTTTGTGGAACACCCTTTGACCCCAACTATTGTTATTATCAATATTTGTTTTCTGAGTAAGTTACAATGGCCATACAACAAAACCAACACAGATAAAACAAAGACAAACTGGGACTGACTTACATTAAGAAGTATGTCTATAAAATATATTGGTGACCCAATTTTACTTACAAAACATGCCCTTCTTGCAACCAAGTGCTAGCAAGGCAGGAGTAAACATTGAAAGACTATTGTCCTCATCACGGAGACCCATGTCGACTGGCTCTCTGGCAGAACTTATGGAGGTCCACAGCAAGTGAGGACGTGTTCTGACAACAAGTTGTAATTTCTCGTTTTTCAGAATACTTAGTTTCTTAGTTCCTAATTATTTGTTGTATGGTGCTTTCTTAAAAACGATTCAACGAGACTTTAGGTCACGAATCATTCCATGTTTGAACACACTGTCGTAAGCATGTTCCACAAACTGTTGTGTCAATTACCATGTCTCTGGACAGAGCTGAGTGACATCCTTCAGTGGGACGTAAATAATCTACCTTTAACCTACACAGTCTAGGCCCTGAGAGTCAGCGGATCATCCGAAAGTTAATGACATAATGATTCTTCTGTTGATGGTGAACTCCTTATCAAGCGCTTCCGATATTTCCCACAATCCTTTGCTGGAAGTCCACAGTGAAATGCACATGGTCCATACCACGCAGTGTGCGGAGATAGTCGAAGCTGTTTTTAAACTGTTGCTCGTTGATGCCAAGTTTATTGTACAGCTTTTTTAGTCCTTGACTTCTAGCGGTTTCAACAGCCAGTGTGTAGTTCGCTCTGGCCAGTGTGGCGATGGTTGATGACTGCGCTGTCGCGTTGGCGTTGATTTCCTTTCCTTCATTCTTGATTTGGCGAACCTTGGTAAGAAACATGACATATATAGCATGATGTAAAAGATTTAGTATCAAGCATTTTCCATACCACACTTCAAGTGTAATATGAGTAATTTCTAGATTTTGTAAGTTTGCCAATATGAAGACATTTTCCTGTCATTCCAGACTCAACAAGGATGATGTTTGTGTGTGAGTGTGGTGCGTGTTGGTGAACGCTGCATGTTCAAATATTCCAGCTATATGACAGACTCCTGCAAATAATCAAGTCTGCATAAGACAACCCACTGATTGATACTTGTGCGCAACGTTCCCCGCTGTCGGGCACGATGACACACCTACAACCAAGTCACACGCCCTGGCAACCCGATCCATTAAGTCGCATCTTATGACCACTGAAGGTTGCTGGGGACTGAGTTGACTTATGAAGTGAGGTGAAATGGCGTTTAACGTCGCGTCCAAGATCATTGCACTTATATAGCGACGTGCATGCACATGTGTGTGTGGCTGCTTGTACTAGTACGGATTAATGCCGATTTTATAGTGCTAGCTCACTGAGATACCATGTCGCAGTTGAACATGAATACCCCACTCAGACACAGTATACTGACTTCGAGCCAAACAGTCCTTGTTTTAGCCCCTTAATACTGAGCGCCAGGCAGGGTAACAACAAGTACCCGGACCTTTCGCCCTACCACAGAGGCAGTCAAGTTGACTTCTGGATTTCAATGTCTTTATTGTTTCAATGCAATGTCTGTACATTTAAGAATACTAGCATTTGAACAAAACGTCACACTGGAAGAAATTGAAAGCCATAACTCTGTCTCCTTTTACTCCTTAAATCAAACTCAGGCAGGGCTAGCACACAAACGACAACAGTTAACAGATCAGACAGGCTATAAGTTACACAAATGTACATTTCATAAAAGTAAAACTTTGTTATTGGAGACTAAAATACATTTAGGGTCTAGAATGATTTAGAATCATTATCAGCACTAGGCCCCAAACTGTCTGAATATTACTGGTAGGATTACCCACCTCTGCATCTGTCTGTATACGTAAGATTACCCACCTCTGCATCTGTCTGTATGCGTAAGATTACCCACCCCTGTATCTGTCTGTATACGTAAGATTACCCACCTCTGCATCTGTCTGTTTACGTTAGATTACTCACCTCTGCATCTGTCTGTATACGTAAGATTACCCACCTCTGCATCTGTCTGTATACGTAAGATTACCCACCTCTGCATCTGTCTGTTTACGTAAGATTACTCACCTCTGCATCTGTCTGTTTACGTAGGATTACCCACCTCTGCATCTGTCTGTTTACGTAAGATTACCCACCTCTGCATCTGTCTGTTTACGTAAGATTACTCACCTCTGCATCTGTCTGCTTACGTAACATTACCCACCTCTGCATCTGTCTGCTTACGAAAGATTACCCACCTCCGCATCTGTCTGTTTACGTAAGATTACTCACCTCTGCATCTGTCTGCTTACGTAAGATTACCCACCTCTGCATCTGTCTGCTTACGAAAGATTACCCACCTCTGAATCTGTCTGTTTACGTAAGATTACCCACCTCTGCATCTGTCTGTTTACGTAAGATTACCCACCTCTGCATCTGTCTGTTTACGGACGATCTGGGCATCCTGCAGTAGCTGTTCTCGGAGAGCATCCTCCTGGAGTGTGAGAGCTCGGAGGAATCGGTCCTTCACATCGTTGGGTATCTGCACCTGACCCATCTGGAAGAACTTGACGTCAACAAACAGTCCCTTGTCCGCTGTGGTGCACAGTCTCACTTCCTTGCAGCCTGGCGGACATGCTGCAGTAGACAATACAGCACTTGACAAAACATGGTCGCCACACAGAACACACTCTGAGCATGTTGAGAAATTTGAACATTTGATCGCTCTCACTATCATCAATGGCAAGACTGAATTGTCAAAACAAGAACCTTGATGCTTTGATTAGCTGCTGTTCAACAGCCCGACTGACTGTTGTCTGAGAATCTACAGTAGCCTCTTTCAAATGAAATCAATGAAATTAAATTAAGAATAAGTGTAGCTCATTTTCCATTTGACAACTGCTCAAATGTATTTAGACCATGATTGATCTAGTCAAAAGCTCTCTTGAAGAGACAGGTTTTATTTTTTCAAATGTTAGTAAAACCAGTATGTTCTGTTTGTTTGTTGTTTAACGTCGCACTCAGCATTATTCCAGCCCGTCTGTAAATAATCGAGTCTGGACCAGACAATTCAGTGATCGATATTGTGAACAACGATCCATGTCGTTGGGGTGCGAGGACATGCTATCAGCCAAGACACTGAGCTTGACCACCAGATTTGGTCGCATCTTGCAGTAGTGGTTCTGGTAGTAGAAGTAGTAGAAGTAGTAGTAGTAGTAGTAGTAGTAGTCTGGAGTCTGGACCAGACAATCCAGTGATTGACATCATGAGCATCGATCTATGCAACTGTGATGCCATGACATGCATCGAACAATTTAGCGAGCCTGATCTGTTCCTGTCGTCGCCTCTTACAAGCATTGTCGCCTCTTACGACAAGCATAGTCGCCTCTTACAACAAGCATAGTCGCCTCTTACAACAAGCATAGTCGCCTCTTACAACAAGCAAAGTCGCCTCTTACAACAAGCATAGTTGCCTCTTACGACAAGCATAGTCGCCTCTTACAACAAGCATAGTCGCCTCTTACAACAAGCATAGTCGCCTCTTACAACAAGCAAAGTCGCCTCTTACAACCAGCATAGTTGCCTCTTACGACAAGCAAAGTCGCCTCTTACAACAAGCATTGTCGCCTCTTACGACAAGCATAGTCGCCTCTTACAACAAGCATAGTCGCCTCTTACAACAAGCATAGTCGCCTCTTACAACAAGCAAAGTCGCCTCTTACAACAAGCATAGTTGCCTCTTACGACAAGCAAGGGTTGCTGGAAATCACTTCTAGCCCAGTTCTCTATGAGGTTACTACACAGCAGTACACTTACCAAACTTGAAACTTTTACAGTTTTTAGCACAGCATTTGCCTCCCAGCCTCTCTCTCACACCTTTAAACATGGCCGACTCTACAGCAGCACGGTCCGACACATACTGTCGAGTGGTGAACGTCGGAGCCTCTCCCTGAAGGCAGGATAGACTTACTGTTACAGGTTCTTTTAAGATATTTTGTTACCATGGTTACAAGGGTACATCTATTCAGATAGCCGATCTATGTACACCGATGGGAAGGACTTGAGCGATCCAGGAATTAGGAATCTATGCACCATGACTACATCTGTTACCTACACAGCACAAGCCACCTTGAGGTCCGTAACCAGATCTGTCAAATTGGACAGTCTACCTTTCCAGGCTGGGTAATAAGTAACTTCTCAAAATTTGCGATTTTTCCTACATGATGCTGATACTCCTAAACTCTTAATAAAGTCAGAACTGCATGTACTTCAGTGTAAAACAAGATGTTTGTTTGTTGTTTAACGTCACACTCGGCAATATTCCAGCAATATGACGGCGGTCAGTAAATAATCGAGACTGGACCAGACAATCCAGTGATTGATATCATGAGCATCAATCCACGCAATTGGGATACGATGACATGCTTCAACCAAGTCAGTGAGCCTGACCACCCGATCCAGTTAGTCGCATCTTATGACAAGCATAGTCGCCTTTTACGGCAAGCATGGGTTGCTGAAGTCCTATTCTACCCATCATAACAAGAAGTGAAAGATGTCCTCACTTTGTATGAGTGAAAGTTGGGCATAATGCCATTGATTAATGGTATTTCAGTTAAATAAATGCATATCAACTTAATGTGAGAGAAAAGCTCAATGTGATGCAAGTCTCAGACCATATGGTGCTGACAAACTTGGAAACAACTGGGCGAACCGGGATTCAAACCCAAGATCAGAGGTTTCTGGCATGAACAAAGGGACACAACTCAGCGCAGCAAATTGCGGTGCTTAAGATGACTGTGCCAGTCCCCCACTTCCTCCCTTCGGATTTGCCCAGTTCATGTCAACTGGGAATGATGAATCCCTGGCAGACCTTCTCACCTTGAGAGCATCCACGGCGCTGGTGCGCATCACGGCCGCGTAGGAGATGTCGTACTGGCTATGCAGCAGCTTCAGGTCCTCCGGACGCAGGAAGTACTGGAAGGACACGTCCATACGCACCTGCAACAACAACACCCGCGACGTCAATACCCACAACAGCGTCAACACCCACAACAGCATGATCACTCATAATAGCGTCAACACCCACAACAGCGTCAACACACAAAACAGCTTCAACAGCCGCAACACACACAACTGCATCAACACCCACAACCCTGTCAACACCCTTAATATTGTCAACACACAAAACAGCTTCAACAGCCGCAACAGTGTCAACATACACAACAGTGTCAACACCCGCAACAGCGTCAGCACCAACAACAGCATCAACACCCACAACAATTGAGAACAGCAACATCATTGCATCTATTTCTCATTTCTTGCTTAACAGAGGACCTTTAAACATGTCTGTTGAACATGAATACCCCATTCAGGCACAGTACAGTCAAGTCCCGCTCGTCCGACATGGTTGGTTGAATATGATTATGTCGGATTAATGAAATTAAGTTGTATCTGCGTTCGTGATCATAAAAAATGAAATATTCATATTGTTCTGTCACTTTGTTTCTGGAATATGCTTTCTGATCATGCAAACACTAAAGCTTAACCAAAAACTATGGTTACAGATGTATGACTGATTCAAAATATCTTTAAACGCATAGTCTGGAATGGAGGTAGCCAGTTTGAAACTAGCGCAGCAAAGCTCAAGAAAGCTGCTTTCTTAGTGGCTAATGTCAACTTCCTGTTAGTCATTTCATTAAAAACTGGTCAAAGTTCAGGAAAGGTCGTTCTGACGTGACCTGTCATGGGATGTCCTCAGTGGTAGCGAGAACTTGTATCTGATTTTAATGAAACATCTAAGCATGTGATTAATCTTGTTTTGTTTATTTAAAGCATCAATTGTTTATTGTTAAGCTTAAGTTTATCTCTGCAGCCATTGTAATATGCAGCTACCAGCCGACTCATCTCTCATCAAAACACTGGCTGTGTAATCGCGGGCAGATGACCACGTAGTAAGCTTATCACTGTGTCGGATTAACGAGACTGATTAATGAGTGATTTAGGTTATTCGTTTCAAATTAGGTGTTTCGGAGTCGGAGTGTGATAAACAGATTAACGGGTCTAAATAGCACTGATTTAATCGGTTCCCATCATTAGTGTCGGATAAAGCCAATTGTCAGATTAACGAGTGTTGGATTAACGAGACTTGACTGTATACTGACTCTGAGTCGAAAAGTCCTTGTTTCAGCCCCTTGATGCCGAGCGCCAGGCAGTACCAAAAGTACCATCTTTTAACGTCTTATGGTTGGAAGCTGCTGGGGATTGAACCCCTAACCTTCCGCTCTCCAAACAGACGCTTTCCCACTAGACTACGGAGGTGGTAACATGTTCAAGAGTAAGTGTTTATGTTTATTATATTGTCCAAACAAAACCATGTAAGTTGTTCGCGTTAATGTGCACGTTTCAAACATAAAAATCAATACAACATTCACATAACACACATTATGTCAATACATCATTAATGTAAAAATTAAAACATAAAAGTTTACAGGCGAAATTTGGAAATCCACATTGTTAAAAATAAATAGGTCACCATTTCTATTACGAGGGGAGAGACTGTGGTATTATTAGTATTTTCATTTAATCTATCCAAGTTCCTTGTGTAACATGTTGCCATATTCATGAATGAATTCTTAGAACTACAGTCCCGATGTCGATGTTATTGAGGTCATGTGATACAAATTGATTTCTTTCCACAAACGCTGCTTCTTGAAAGTAGCTATTACAACAGCTAAATTCTAATAAAGGTTAAACTTTGATTGAAAAACAATAACCCTTGACTCACCATGAAAAGCCATTTTGTCCAAACTTCATAAAACTTACTCACACACTGCCCACACCACAGATATAGAAGCTCCTCACACAAGAGATTCAGAAGCTCCCCACACAACAGGTGCAGAGGCAACACACACACACACACACACACACACACACACACACACACACACACACACACACACACACACACACACACACACACACACACACACACACACACACACCAGATGCACAGACAAGTGTCTTACCTCCAACTTGTCCGATGTGAACACAGCAACATCATTCAAGAAGACGTAGTGAGCCGACCCTTCGTATTTCTTGAACTCAAAGTCCGGTCCTATCAAGTACTTGCCTCCCGTATAGACCCGTGATGTGTCAACAGCTCCGGTACTCTTCCTCCTCACAAAGGCCATCTGCGAATAGGATCAGAGAGTTGAGACATGATCAGACAGTTGGGACACTATCAGACAGTTGGGACATGATCAGACACTTGTGAATTGATCAGAAAGTTGGGACACTATCAGACAGTTGGGACACACTATCAGACAGTTGGGACACTATCAGAGCGTTGGGACGTGATCAGACAGTTGGGACACTATCAGAAAGTTAGGACGTGATCAGACAGTTGGGACACTATCAGAAAGTTGGGACGTGATCAGACAGTTGGGACACTATCAGACAGTTGGGACGTGATCAGACAGTTGGGACGTGATCAGACAGTTGGGACACTATCAGACAGTTGGGACATGATCAGACACTTGTGAATTGATCAGAAAGTTGGGACACTATCAGACAGTTGGGACACACTATCAGACAGTTGGGACACTATCAGAAAGTTGGGACGTGATCAGACAGTTGTGAATTGAGCAGACAGTTGGGACACTATCAGAAAGTTAGGATGTGATCAGACAGTTGGGACACTATCAGAAAGTTTGGGACGTGATCAGACAGTTGGGACACTATCAGAAAGTTGGGACGTGATCAGACACTTGTGAATTGATCAGAAAGTTGGGACACTATCAGACAGTTGGGACACACTATCAGACAGTTGGGACACTATCAGAAAGTTGGGACGTGATCAGACAGTTGTGAATTGAGCAGACAGTTGGGACACTATCAGAAAGTTAGGATGTGATCAGACAGTTGGGACACTATCAGAAAGTTTGGGACGTGATCAGACAGTTGGGACACTATCAGAAAGTTGGGACGTGATCAGACAGTTGGGACACTATCAGAAAGTTGGGACGTGATCAGACAGTTGGGACACTATCACAAAGTTGGGACGTGATTAGACAGTTGGGGCACTATCAGAAAGTTGGGACGTGATCAGACAGTTGGGACACTATCAGAAAGTTGGGACGTGATTAGACAGTTGGGGCACTATCAGAAAGTTGGGACGTGATCAGACACTTGTGAATTGATCAGACAGTTGGGACACTATCAGAAAGTTGGGACGTGATCAGACAGTTGGGGCACTATCAGAAAGTTGGGACGTGATCAGACAGTTGGGACGTGATCAGACAGTTGGGGCACTATCAGAAAGTTGGGACGTGATCAGACACTTGTGAATTGATCAGACAGTTGGGACACTATCAGAAAGTTGGGACGTGATCAGACAGTTGGGGCACTATCAGAAAGTTGGGACACTATCAGAAAGTTGGGACGTGATCAGACAGTTGGGGCACTATCAGAAAGTTGGGACGTGATCAGACAGTTGGGACACTATCAGAAAGTTGGGACGTGATCAGACAGTTGGGGCACTATCAGAAAGTTGGGACGTGATCAGACAGTTGGGACACTATCAGAAAGTTGGGACGTGATCAGACAGTTGGGACACTATCAGAAAGTTGGGACGTGATCAGACAGTTGGGACACTATCAGACACTTGTGAATTGATCAGACAGTTGGGACATGATTAGCCATACCCGGTGTGTGTATCATACATTTCACTAGTGGTGGGACCATACACCTATCACCTTCGCGAAGTAAGACCTGTTTTATCACAAAACAGATTTTGATTATTGATCAGATCAGTGCCACCATATTGTTTGAAGCATGAGAGATGCAATCTGACTGGTCAATAAGAGGGACATAGAAGGGACATGACTTGTAATAGCCACTGGTGGTGCTACGATCGAACCCAGAAATTCCAGCCTACTTCAGCAAGGGTGGAAACTGGACTTTTACAGTCGATAAACTCCCTTGCCTGGGGAAGATGGTTGATAATTGGAATGGAACATCGCCACCAATCCCTGATGGCTGTACACAAAACCCTACCTCAGGGAAAGACCAGATGCATCTAGTACAACACCAATAAAAATAGGATCGGTGAAACAGGATTTGAGTTTTTGTTTAAGGTAGTTACTATATAAAACATCGAGAAATCAGGTAAGTAGATTTTGTCGTATGGAAACTTGCCAGGCCATTAACAACCCCACCCTAAACTTAGGCATGTTAAGGAATTGACACTGAACCTTTGAACTGGTCCCTAAACCAATCAGATGGCAGCATACACTCTGGTTTGAAGTCGTTAAACACTTGACAATCGAGGATGCCTGCTGTACATCAAACGTCTCTGAACTCACCTCATAGTACTCCAGGTCGGAGAAACTCATTGGGACGAGGATGACGACCAGAAGGACGGCAATGCCTACCACCGCCCCAATGATGAGAACAACACAACTAGTGCCTTCACCCATCTTTCTACCACAGTCCGATACAACTTCCGCTGTCACGCTCAGTCACGTCCGACTCACTCAACCTTGTCACGTTGTCTCGCTCCGAGTCACACTATCTGGAAAAGAGAGAACCAAAATAGAACCAGCAATCCAACTGCAGTAGCACTTAGACATGGTGGTATTCTTTTTGTAGGACAGATCAGCTCATCATTTGCTCATTAGGAGGAAAACATTCATCTAAATAGCTGACCAGAGTGTTGGTTTCAGAGTCCTGATAGACATGGTCCAGTGTCCAGGGATACCATGATGGTCTGGAGATGACCAATACTACCTTCTACCCTTCCAAGTACACCCGAGTACACCCCTGGCGTCTCTACAGCTGCAGTGCTGAACAATCTGGACCAACATATCCCAACATTCCTCACCAAGTGATCAGTTCCAACTGGTACTTGAGTCTGATAATTCCCGATTACAGTTGTCCCCATGATATCCTGGCAGACAGCTAGACACACTCACCATCTGCTCCATGACACACTACATGTTGTTTCACATCGTGTCGTCAGTATTGATTATTTCTGACGAATCTCTACCACTAATTAAAGATTCCCTGATTCTTACAAATACCATAGAAATGAGGAATGTGTTTACCACTAATGTTGAAAAATGATTCCTTGGATCAATAATTGGTGATGATGTCTAGGAACCTCTCCAGTCAGAGCTGTGTCAGTGCAGGATAACAAAACAGCAAATGGTGGAACTCGGAACGTACTACTGCTTTACTTCGCTAGATGTAGACTGGGGGGTTCAGACACTAACAGCATCTGCATTGGGGCTTCATGTGCTGGGGTCAACATCAATTACAAATCACATTTGAACCTGTGCAAAATCTAGACTTGCTTCTTTTACAATGTTTTAGGGCTGTAGCATTAGAGTAAGGCCAGGGTGGAAGGGTTATTGATATGATTCATGGGCTGTGACACAGACTAGGTTAGATGGCATCAATCTAAGCAAAGACTAAACAAAGACAAAAGGTTGTTTGACAGTCTGAAATATTCCAGCAATGTCAATGGTACCTGTGAGTAGATTTTTACAGCCGCAAAATACAAAACAAATTATTTGCAATGAGAGGAGGCAAAAAGTACATCTGTTTGTACGCTAAAAAAACAAATTTCAATTTTAGCCATGGTAGCATACACTTAACATGCATAAATATATGTCTATCAAGCAATCACTAAGTTTTGTTTCCAAAGCCATCCACAGCTGACATACAGCATACTTCATGACATATTTTTGTTGGTGAAGTGATGCCCTGGGACCCCCCTTTTTATGCCAGGGATTCCCCCAAAGTAGGACAGAGTCTCCAGGAAGTGCCAGGTAAATACACACCTGGATGTAATCAACTCTGGACCAGGTAAACCTGCGGTGAGCGGCACGGCATATGATGATTGACTGTGAGAGCCTGATTACACCCAATCATGTCACAGGCTCACCCCCACAATATACTCCAATCAAAGTATACAGAAGTTATCTCATTGCTACTAACCCTTGCTTTAGTTATTCCACTGCCTATTATTCCACTGCATAGCTCTGTCATGTTTTACAGTCATGTCACAGTCATTTAACAGCAGGTCAATGTTGACAAGATCACAAAGAATGTTTTTACTTTCTAGCTAGTTCCTCTTACACTGGCTAGGCCCCTGATTTGTTTGTTTATAGTTAGATGATACAGTTTCAAGTTAAGTAGTCATTGGGAGCGGTGGGGTCGCCTAGTGGTAAAAGCATTCGCTTGTCACGCCGAAGACTTGGGTTCAATTACCCACATGGGTACAATGTGTGAAGCTCATTTCCAGTGTCCCCGGTCGTGATGAGGCTGGAATATTGCTAAAAGCAGCAAATACCAAACTCACTCGCTAACTCAATAACACAGAAGACATTGAGGAACTAACCACAATGTTTCCGATCTGCTGACAGTTTTATTACAAAACAAGATCATAATGGATAGGGACATTTTTTAACAATTTGCACTGGAGTAAAAACTAATTACAGGCTCTTGCAACATGGCTACTGGAGACCAATTCTGCTCCGTTGGTCTAACACAACAGGGGCACAACAGGGGCACAACATGAGCAATGCTTATGTACTATGTGCGGGTGATGTGGCAGGGCTCGAGTACATGGAGTAAGGAAGTTGATTTAACCTGCAGCAGGTGCTTGTTGACATGAATATCTAGCTGCACTCAACCAGGCTGCACCCTGGTCCCTAGTCTGTCTTACAGACCCTGATACAAATATATATCGAATACAGCCCACGCAAGTCTATAATGTTTGGCAAGTCTAGATTACTGCAGTATCTGAAAATGAAGAGAGTCACTGGGCTCCCTTTTATTTTTATTATATTTTTATTAAGGTAACTGAACAACTGTTTTTTTCTGTACGATATGTTTATTTCAGAGACTAGATGTTAGTCTACCTGGTCCCATAAATTCATTTAAGTCGAAACACATATGAATAAACCTGAGTCTTAAACAAGTAGAATCTCAGCTCTCTGATGACATTCATGTGTCATGAATTACACATTACATAGGGAGTACTGACAGCATGGCAAATAAAGCTTAGGCATACTGGGTGTGTTCAAAGTTTGATGTTGTGTGGACAAGTAGAGTTAGTCAGACACAAATCTGAATGTTTTGGACATGTACTTGTTGCATGTAGGCATAAATATTAGGTTGCATTTTTCAATAGGTTGCACTGGTGCACGGTTTATATACCTACCTACATCAGCCCTGGGTGAGGATAACACTATTCAGTGATCTCTCAGAGCTCCTGTGTGGGAGGACACTGGGTGACAGCTGTTTAACTCAAGTGACACAAGCCAGGGATCTGAGTCTGGGTAAATCCTGATTAAAATCAGGAAAACACAGCCGCTTCCAGGAAAAGAACAGAACAGTGTTGAACACAGTACATGGCACCAAGTGAGTGAGTGCGTGAGTTTGGTTTTACTCCGCTTTTAGCAATATTCCAGCAATATCACGACGGGGGACACCAGAAATGGGCTTCACACATTGTAGCCATGTCATGAATCGAACCCAGGTCTTCGTCGTGACGAGTGAACACGTTAACCACTAGGCTACCCGACAGCCCCGGGACCACTGAGATAAGCGTGAGTGATAGCTCTCAAACGCTACTAGTCAGTGCAGACTACCATCATTGTAATTTAATTGCCCTTAGCAGAACCTAGTAGTTCTAGGCTAGTGGGCTAGCATGACATTTGAAGATCATGTATACCCTTGTAAATCGAACATATCCAACAGTAGATGACATCAACCTCTGTTCCCTGTCAGTGTCGACACTGGTTACAATATATTTATCTTGTTTAAGAGAGAAAATCGCTATCAAAAGTCGGGCAATATATTAATCTTGTTCAACATGTTCAAGAGACAAAATCGCTATCAAAAGTTGAGCAATATATTTATTTCGTTCAAGAGACAAAATCCCTATCAAAAGTTGAGCAATATATTTATCTTGTTCAAGAGACAAAATCCCTATTGAAAGTTGAGCAATATATTTATGTTGTACAAGAGACAAAATCCCTATCAAAGGTTGAGCAATATATTTATATTGTTCAACAGACAAAATCCCTATTGAATGTTGAGCAATATAGTTTGTTGCTCAACAGACATATTTCCGTAGCTACGCAATTCACTGCACACGATGCATGTCGAGCATGTTGACGTGAACAACTGGTGACACTTGACACACTGAAGGAAGTGAGATTCCCTGACCTTGATAGGTGACCTTTGCGTGTCCCTGCTGCATAAGATGCACAACAACCAAGCGTACAAATAGATGCGAGCTGTGCCCACACTCTGCCATGACCTCCAGTATACATGGTACAGGTAGATGCGAGCTGTGCCCACACCCTGCCATGACCTCCAGTATACATGGTACAGGTAGATGCGAGCTGTGCCCATACCCTGCCATGACCTCCAGTATACATGGTACAGGTAGATGGGAGCTGTGCCCACACTCTGCCATGACCTCCAGTATACATGGTACAGGTAGATGCGAGCTGTGCCCACACCCTGCCATGACCTCCATTATACATGGTACAGGTAGATGGGAGCTGTGCCCACACCCTGCCATGACCTCCAGTATACATGGTACAGGTAGATGCGAGCTGTGCCCACACCCTGCCATGACCTCCAGTATACATGGTACAGGTAGATGGGAGCTGTGCCCACACCCTGCCATGACCTCCAGTATACATGGTACAGGTAGATGCGAGCTGTGCCCATACCCTGCCATGACCTCCAGTATACATGGTACAGGTAGATGGGAGCTGTGCCCACACTCTGCCATGACCTCCAGTATACATGGTACAGGTAGATGCGAGCTGTGCCCACACCCTGCCATGACCTCCATTATACATGGTACAGGTAGATGTGAGCTGTGCCCACACCCTGCCATGACCTCCAGTATACATGGTACAGGTAGATGCGAGCTGTGCCCACACCCTGCCATGACCTCCATTATACATGGTACAGGTAGATGTGAGCTGTGCCCACACCCTGCCATGACCTCCAGTATACATGGTACAGGTAGATGCGAGCTGTGCCCACACCCTGCCATGACCTCCAGTATACATGGTACAGGTAGATGCGAGCTGTGCCCACACCCTGCCATGACCTCCAGTATACATGGTACAGGTAGATGCGAGCTGTGCCCATACCCTGCCATGACCTCCAGTATACATGGTACAGGTAGATGGGAGCTGTGCCCACACCCTGCCATGACCTCCAGTATACATGGTACAGGTAGATGCGAGCTGTGCCCACACCCTGCCATGACCTCCATTATACATGGTACAGGTAGATGTGAGCTGTGCCCACACCCTGCCATGACCTCCAGTATACATGGTACAGGTAGATGCGAGCTGTGCCCACACCCTGCCATGACCTCCAGTATACATGGTACAGGTAGATGGGAGCTGTGCCCACACCCTGCCATGACCTCCAGTATACATGGTACAGGTAGATGCGAGCTGTGCCCACATCCTGCAATGACCTCCAGTATACATGGTACAGGTAGATGCGAGCTGTGCCCATACCCTGCCATGA